AAGAATGTTCCATTGAGAGGGGTCACAATATGCAAAAACCTAAGGGCCAAATACAAAGGTCATGTTAGAGGCTCAGGAATCATTCAGTGTCACTGAAGTAAGAGTTAGAGAAGGGGTGTTATGATACTATGCTGATAACATAAACAGAATCTAGACAATGAAAGGCCACAAATAGCATGTCAGGGATTTGAGGCATTAAATAAGGCTTTCAAGCAAAAACTGATTTTTGCTGGATCTGAATATAAAACAGATTGCTCGGACTGGAAGTGGAGAAGGGTGTGAAGGTGAGCAAGACTGTATCAAGGAGAACAATGAAGAGGGAACAGTCCTTCAGTAAGAGAATTCAAAATTTCATTGGGACCAAACAGAGGTAGCAGAAGTGAGGACAGAGAAAACTGCCCCGATCCAACTGGTCTTTATAGGGCCCAGCAGATAAGACTTCACAGCAGGAAGGACAGAGACCAAAAGAAGGGAAGTAGGAAGCCTTCTGGGTTTTTGGTCTTGGCATTGGGTGTCCTTAAATGGGGAATACAGGCTGGATTCTGGTTGATGAATTTAGTTTTTAACATGTGGAACTTGGGGTTTCTGTGATTCCCCAAGAGAAATTCTTGTGTTTTCTCTATTATTTTCTTTACTTTTTAGGTACTAGGGATTAAACTCAGGAGCACTCTACCACTGAGCTACATCACCAACCTTTTTCATTTTCTGAGTCAGGGTCTCTTTAAATTGCTGAGGCTGGCCTCAAACTTCTGATCCTCCTGCTTCAGTCTCCTGAGTAGCTGTTATGATAGTTGTGCACCACACACCTCTTGGAATTTTTGTTCTTATCATGATCCTACTTTGTTGAATGTAACTGCATTAGACGAAATAGGACAAATTGAAGGAAAGATTATATACTGAAGGCAAATATTGATGAGGAAAAGGGAGGTAATTGGAAAACAAACCACTGAACCAGTGAAATAAAATGAAATGCCAGGTACTGCGGCTCACACCTGTAATCCCAGCCACTTGGGAGACCAAGACAGAAGGATCACAAGTTGAAAGCTAACCTTCACATCTTAGTGAGACCCTTTCTGAAAAATAAAAATTAAAAAGGACTGAGAATGTAGTCCAGTGGTAAATCACACCTGGGATCAATCTCCAGTACCAAAAGGGAAAGAAAAGAAAGGGAGAAAAAAGACACTACTCAGTGAAATGGAATTACAAAATCATAGTATCATAAGTACTGTGAGTAGTTTTCCATATTTACAAGATTAAAGAAGCAAGCAACACCTGAATTGCATGTTGTCAGTATAAATTCACGGAGGCAGAGCACGAACACCTGTGTGTACACAAAGAAGTCAGTGGAAACATGAGATTAGTAGAAAATAATGTCAGACCACCTACCTGACATGGGTAGCCAATAAGATTGGCTTTCTTGACTTGATTGACCTGATTGGCCTCAGTGTCAGTGTTCATCTCTTAAGGACATATGTACATCTCATATTGAATATTCTGAGGTTTCTTGACAGGAGACTTTTAGTGACGAAAAGATCCGGTTCTGAAAGACTATCTTTATTAGGCATGAAACTTTGTTGGTCTATTTTTTTTTAACCATCATGACATACGCAGAATGGAAATATTCTTTAAATTTAAGAGTTAATGGATTTCCTTTTCCATGTAATATATACTAGATAATTGTCCAATCTTGACAATTAAAAAATAAAAAACAAATAACAGAAGTTGAAAGAACTCAGAGGAAGAGTCAAAAGTACTAATATCTATATGTTATAAAGCAGAGAATAAAAAATGAGTGTTTATGATATATGGAACAAAAAATAAAATTATGAGTACTATTTAATGTTCAAATATAAGAATTTAGGAACAAAATGATAGAAATCTTGTATGCTACGTCACCTAAAGATTAAAATATAGCTACCAATTCATCACAGTGCTTGGCTGCAGTCGTGACAATGGTATGAATGTGTGAACAGAGTGTGTGTCAATCAGAAAGAACATACCATTAAAATGCACTATTGTGTTCCTAACAAAGTCAAGGGAGACCTGTACACTTGTGAAAGGATCACTCAAAATACATTGAGTGAGAAACTTTGCTGAAGGTCACATGCACTCCATGTGTTATGGAATGTGGTTCTTGATATGTTCTGTTACAGAGGCAATGGCTGTCTTGGAAACATTAAATGGAGAGCATGTTAAAAGAGATGGATTACCTCTTAACTGAAAGCCATTTTGCAGCAATGAACTATTTGGAATTGTATTTCTTACAGGCGTCCTTCACTCTTTCTCAGGGTCCCATGACTTTAGGGCATTCACAGTACAGGCCAGCTTCCACTCCCAGGCTTGGTGTTCTTTTCCTCAGATTTCACTGTCATGATGTAGAAGATGGAAATATGGAAACGACAATGCCTGTCTGAAGGAGCAAGTGGATTAGGGTTCTTGAAATGTTCTGTGACAGAGGCAATGCTATCTTGGGAACAGTGAATGGAGAGCATGTTAAGAGAGATAGATTACCTCAGAAGTGATAGCCAATTACAGAGCACTGAAGTGTTAGGAATTGGCAGTTCTCGAGTAGGTCTTTCTTTTCTTCTCTGACTTAGGTCTTTCATAGTAAAGGCCAGCATCCACTCCCAGGCATGGTGTTCTTTTCCTCAGATTTCAGTGTCATGATGTAGAAGATGGAAGAAGGAAATGACAATGCCTGTGTGGAGCAGCAACTGGATTAGGATTCTGAGAAGTTCTGTGACAGTCAATGGTTGTCTTGGGAACATTAAATGAAGAGCGTGTTAGTAGCGATGTATGACCTCAGAAGTGACAGCCAATGAAGGTGCACTGAACTGTTAGGAATTGGCAGGTCTCCAATGGGTCTGTCTTTCTTCTGGGGGTTCCATGACTTCAGGGCATTCAGAGTACAGGCCAGCATGCACTCCCAGGTTTGGAGTATTTTTCCCCAAATTTTACTGGCATACTGTAGAAGATGGAAGATGGAAATGATGATGACTGTTTGAAGTAGCAGCTGGGTTAGTGTTCTTGAAATCTTCTGTGACAGAGGCAATGGCTATCTTGGGAACATGAAATGGAGAGCATGTTAGAAGAGACATATAACCTCTAAACTGAAAGGCATTGATGGAGCACTGAACTGTTAGGAATTTTCAGGTCTCAAATGGGTCATTCTTTCTTTTTCAGGATCCCATGACTTTTAGGTCTTTCATAGTAAAGGCCAGCTTCCACTCCCGGGCATGGTGTTCTTTTCCTCAGACCTTCAGGTCATGATGTAGAAGATGGAAGGTGGAAAGAACAATGCCTGTATGAAGCAGCAACTGCATTAGGGTTCTTGAAATGTTCTATGACAGAGGCAATGGCTCTCTTGGGCACATCCCATGGAGAGCATGTGAAGAGAGATGGATTACCTCTGAACTGAAAGCCATTGATGGAGCACTATGGTGTTAGGAATTTGCAGGTCTCAAATGGGTCTACCTTTCTTTCTTCTTCGGTGTCCCATGACTTTAGGGCATTCGTAGTACAGGCCAGTTTCCACGTCATGCCTGGTATTCTTTTTCTCAGATTTTACTGTCATGATGTAGAAGATGGAAGACGAAAACAAGAATGCCTGTCTGAAGCAGCAACTGCATTCGAGTTCTTGAAATGTTCTGTGACAGAGGCAATGTCTGTCTTGGGCACATTAAATGGAGTGCATGTTAGGAGAGATGGATTACCTCTGAACTGAAAGCCATTGATGGAGCACTATAGTGTTAGGAATTTGCAGGTCTCAAATGGGTCTACCTTTCTTTCTTTTTCGGTGTCCCATGACTTTAGGGCATTCGTAGTACAGGCCAGTTTCCACTCCCATGCCTGATATTCTTTTTCTCAGATTTTTCTGTCATGATGTAGAAGATGGAAGATGGAAACAACAATGGCTGTATGAAGCAGCAACTGGATTAGGGTTCTTGAATGGGTCTGTGACAGAGGCAATGGCTGTCTTGGGCACATTACATGGAGAGCATGTGATAGAGATGCATTAACTCTGAACTGAAACCCATTAATGGAGCACTGAAGTGTTAAGTTTTTGCAGGTCTCAAGTGCATCTTTCTATTTCGGAGTTCCATGAATTTAAGTCTTTCATAGTAGAGGCAGTTTCCACTCCCATTCGTGGTGGTGTTTTTTTTTTTTTTTTTTTTTTCAGATTTCTCGGTCATGATGTAGAACATGGACGATGGAAACAACAATGCTAGTATGAGGCAGCTACTGGATTAGGGTTCTTGAATGATCTGACAGAGTCGAGGTCTGTCTTGGAAACATTCAATGGAGAATCTGTTAGGAGAAATGGATTACCACTGAAATGGACGCCTTTAATGCATTACTGTAGTGTTAGGAATTTGCAGGTCTTAAATGGCTCTTTCTTTCTTACTTTTCTGGTGTCCCTTGATTTTAGGGCATTCATAGTAAACTGCAGTTTCCACTCCCAGTCATGGTGTTCTTTTCCTCAGATTTTACTGTCATGATGTAGAAGATGGAAGATGGAAATGACAATGACTGTCTGAAGCAGCAACTGCATTAGAGTTCTTTACAGGTCTGTGACAGAGGCAATGGCTGTCTTGGGATCATCCAATGGAGAGCATGTAAGGAGAGATGGAGTACCTCTGAAATGAAAGCCATTGATGGAGCACTGTACTGTGAGGAATTGGCATGTCTCAAATGCAACTTTCTCTCTCTTTTTCTTTTTTGGTGTCTCATGACTTTAGGGCATTCATAGTAAAGGCCAGCTTCCACTCCCAGGTGTGGTGTTCTTCACCTCAGATTTTCAGGTCATGAAGTAGAAGATGGAAGATGGAAATGACAATGCCTCGCTGAAGCAGCGAATTAGTGTTTTTGAAATGTTCTGTGATAAAGCCAAAAGCTGTCTTGGGAACTCTCAGTGGGAAAGCGCCCCTTGAGACTTCCCAGTTGCTATGGGAACTTATCTGTTCAAATAGAGGTTCTGTGACACTCATGGAGGTCTTCACTTCTTGACCATGAGGTTTGGATGCCAGGTGTAGGAGTTAGAAGTTTATCAAAGCAAGCTGGTCATCATAATCGGGTTGCCCCTACTTATGACCCTGTTTTGCTTGCTTTGCACAAACTTTCTCCCAAAACCCCTTTCATTGATCACACTGAGAAGGCTTGTGGTCATTGCACTCCATAGTGTAATAGCCTGTTTGGGTCCCATCTGCTGCCACCTGCAGGGTGGTTGATTGAGGAAACCAGATGAGGGGCCATGGGGGATGAGAAAGTCAGAAATCCAAGGGGTGAAAAAGCTGGAACTGGGTGTCGATTACACTCTGGTAGAGTGCAACGGTCAGGAGCCAGCTCAACACGTTTGTTATATAAGTTTCATACTTAAAAGGTTTTTTTTGTGAGAAAATTTGGGCAAAGCCATCAAAACCAAGGTCATATGTATGACCAGTCCAATTATGAGTAGCAGCTTGTGCCCATAACGTTCCACCGCTGAGCCCTGCCACCTGAACCACAAGTTCAAGAACTGAATAGCTCCCTGGGTGGGACAGGTGGAACAGGTCTTCACCCAAGAAACTGGGCAGTCTTGACCAGCGCCTTGCATCAAGAATTCCCACGAGGGGCATCACCTCCCGGGACAATTAAAGAACCCTAATTTAGTCATTGCTCCCAACAATTGCCTAAATGTTATTCTATATGTCCATCAGTGTTGAGGAAAACAAGTTGCTGCTGAATTTACATCCTAATGACTGGGTTCCAGTTTGAGCTCACTGGCAATTTTGGAAGCAATATTTTTGAATGCCTTGGATTTCTCTGATATGGGCTTAAAGCGGACCCCGTTTAAAGACAGTCTGGGAAGTTTACATACCTCCATCTCCCACTGCACCACTTTCTCGGTGTACCCATCTCCATAGATGCAAAGGAGCAGAAAGGGCGTCTTGTGCATATATTGGCAGTTGTTGGCATCTAGCACCTTGCGGATTTCCCTCATGATGTCACTAGGATTCATGGCACTAGTGATTTTCATGCCCCAGGTGAAGTGCAGGGAGCGAGGTTTTGCTTGTTGGTTCTCCTTTCTCTGCTCAGCAGAGACATGTTGACTTGAACCCTTATATCTCAGGGTCTTCTCAGGCTCAGTTGGAGGCCTTCTTGTGAATTTAGATGTTAACTTAGTAAAAACACCAGTGGTGCCTCTTCTTTGAGTCTGGGGCAATGCTTCAGCTGGATGGAAGCAGCTGGGTGAGGCAAGAGGACCTTCGTGTGTTGCAGTTTGGGATTCCCGGGGCTGGCGGTGGAACATTCTACGAAGGACACTGGCTCTGGGGAAGCAGATGCAGCCCCGGGTGGAGGTACTTGGGACACTGTGGGTTGAAGTCACTGGAGGGCTCTGAGCAGGGAAGTTGCTGTTGTTCTGACCATTCCGGCTCACTGAACGTGTGTCTGCTTTGGTTGTTTTGCGGCAAATGTACTTACTCCACAGTGTCCTCCCTCCAGATGGTGTGCTGCTCTTGTAGGCAGCAGGCATTTTCTTGAATTCAGGAGTCTCCAGCTCCTTGGGACTGGTGGTGATCCCAGGTAGGGGCCTGGCTGGAGAAATTCCCTTTCCTCCCACAGCACTGCCACCGGATTTCTGGGAGGCCATTTGATGTTCTCTGAGGTGACTCTGGGCAGTGCTGGTCAGATATGGCCCAGTTCCAGCATGGTCCAGGGACTGTGTCTGCTTCTGAGTGGAAACGCTTCGCTGCACTTTGCGGTGAGGAGGCCAGCTGGTGCTCTTTCTGAGGACCCTGCTTGGCAGCAGCTTAGCCAATGAGATGTTTCTGTGGGAGATGGCCACATATGGACCAACAAGAGGTTGGAGGACATCAAGGCCTCTGTTGATCCACCTGTCTCCCATAATTTCGGCCAGGGTGCTGCGCTTAGTTGGATTGAGCACCAGCAAGCGTTTCAGCAGATTTTCACATTCTGTTGACATGTACAGAGGGATTTGGTATCTACCTTGTAGCACTCTGTCTCTAATTTCTCTCACATTGTCCCCAACAAAAGGAAGCGACCCGGTGACTAGGGTGTACAGAACCACGCCAAGACTCCACACATCCACTTCGGGACCATCATACTCTATGCGCTGGAAGAGCTCTGGAGCTGCGTAGGGCGGACTGCCGCAAAACGTGTCGAGTTTACACCCAAGTGTAAACTCGTTGCTGAGTCCAAAATCGGCTACCTTGATCTTCATCTGTGAGTCTAATAACAGATTGTCCGCCTTCAGGTCTCGGTGGGCGACCTGCTTTTGGTGACAATATTGGACTGCAGACACGACCTGCCGGAATATAGATCTTGCCTCCTCTTCCTGCAGCCTTCCTTTGTTGGCCAGATAGTCCCTAACTCCCCCTCCACTGGCGTACTCCAGGACCAAACAGAGTGCTTTTTCGCAGTCCAGAGCTTCATAGAGCTTCAGGATGTGTGGGTGGTCTAACATCTTGAGGATTCTCACCTCTCTGTACATCTTTTGGAGGACTTGTGGCTTCAGATGTCTCTTATCGATGATCTTGATTGCCACTTCTTTACCTGTGATGACGTGACGGGCCAGCATGACTTTGGCGAAGGTCCCCTTGCCAAGGGTTTTCACTACTGTATAATCTCCAATGCGAGGTGGTTTACCTGCAGAGGAAGCTGTGGATTTTGGGCGCTGTGCTCCAGAGTGCCCGGTCTGGGAGGTGTCTTCTGCCCGTCTAGATCCATGCGAGGGGTGCATGGTTTGACCCAAGTTGATGATCGATGGGTCTGGATGTCCCTGGAAAGTTTAGGATAGGTTAGGGCTAGGCAAGGACAGGGGTTGGGGGAAAACAAGGAGAGAGTTGGAGATGGGTTGGGGAAAAAAACAGCCACAACTGCCTTTTACCAACAAATACCGTGCCCAGTTCAAAAACTCGCTCTGGGAACATCAAAGGCCAAAAGGCAAATGAGGAGTGGTTCTAGGTCCACTCATTTCTAGGATTCTCATTCTATTATCTCCTAGGCAATCAATGCAGTCATAAAGGTACTGACTGCATAAAGAGTGGTCATATGCACCCTAAGTGGACCAAGGACCCAGGCACTTACTCTGTCTATGGAACTTGACAGTTTGGGGGTCAAGACCTGATGAAAAAGAGAACTATTTTTTTTTCCAGAAATATTCAGCTGGACATAAACACACTTGACAATTCAATTTGGATGGTGAAGTTGATTGGTGAAAGCACTGGGGTTGTAAGAGTGGTCCACTTTACCTTTTGAATATAACCCTGGCTGCTTATTTTAAAAGGAAAATGTTTTTCTTTTCCCCTTCTCCCTGTCTCCCTCCCTAACCTGGGGGCAGGGAACAAGATTACCTTGAGTTATCTGTTCTCCACAGGAAGGAGAAGTCACCAGAACTAGGAAGTGATGAGCTCCCAGATCAACTAGTTAATCATAACACACACTCAGGATGCACCTGGGAACCCCTGGTCAGGGCACACCTGGAGTGGAGCCTTTGAATAGTCTCCTTAAAAACCCTCTGTTTTCCCTGATGGGCAGAATCAAATCTTCTGGCACAGGAGTCCCCTGTGTTTCCCCTTTGCTGGCAAAGCAATAAACCTCCTTTTACCTCGATCTCAAAACCTTCTCCTCATTATTGCATGGCCATCAGGGACAAGGCCCAAGGTTTTTGGTAACAGGTCAGGGACCCAGGCTCTAGTGTATTGCTCATCTGCTTTTTTCCCCTAGTGTCTTTCAAAAGTCTTCAAAACTCCTTTATTCAATCATTGTAGGGGCCGCAACATGCAAATACTAGTTTCACCTCTCTTCTTTGTAAAAGTTGTCTTGCATTTCTGCCAAATACCTGTATCTTTCAAGGAGATTATTAATTTACTTCCAGTATTGAACATGTAGGCTTTTTAATATCAGTAAAGAAACAAAATAAAATGTGTCACACATGTGGCCACTTAATACTTACAAGTCATTCTCAAAATAAACCCGGATGCAATTTCAAGTGCAGCCGCACTCCATCTGCTGAAATTTTATATCTTACCCTATGGTATGATTTTTGGAAATTAAGTCATTTTTTGAACAAATACAAAATATTCAAAAATGGGCCTGGCATATGCTTTGTACTCATCAACTACTTGTGGAATAAATGGTTTACCATTGCTTTGTATTCTTAATTACCAGAAGAGTGTGTGTGTGTGTGTGTGTGTGTGGGCACATGCACATCAATGCAGCATTTCCTTGTTAATAGCAGTCTTCTTGTTCATATTGAATGCTTTCACACATTATATTCTAATAGTGCTACACACATCTGGTGTCAATGTAACAGTGGTCCACCTTGTGTTTTGAATAGAGCTCTTGACGCTCTGCCCCTGTAACTCATTTTTTAAGTAGATATGTTTTTATTCTCTTCTTCTCTCATTGCTCCTCCCTAATTTCAGGGGGAACAGGATTATCTTTTTTTCCCCATTTCAGGCAGATTTCTCTCTCTGAGTGTTCACACCCACCAAAGGAAGGACGTAATCCAGACTTTGGGGATGGTACCAGAATATCTCAGAAATGATTCTCCCAAATTAACAAGTGAATTACAACTCCAGACAGAGAACATGTAGAATGTAGCCTTTGAATCACCTCTTTATAAGCCCCCTGTTCCTGCTGATAGGCAGAATCACAGCCTTTGGGACAGAAGTCTCCTGTGTTTCTCTTTTGTTAGCAAAGCAATAAGCCTTCGTTTTCTTTTCTCTCAAAACCGTGTCCTCCTTATTGGACTGGGCTTTCAACAATATCAAGATGGTATAACGAATTCAAAATACATACTATTTGCAATTAGTAGACAGGTATCATTTGAGACTACCAGATTTGTACAATAACTATTAAATATTCTCCCATGTTAAGTGGCTGATACTGTGAATACTTTAACCTTTTCTCAGTGACTCATGTTCACCTCTAGCAACATCAATAAATGTAAGATTTCAAGCCTTATGGGCCTTCCATAAGCTTCCATCAGCTCTCAATAGAGGTCTGACACATTGTTTTGTTTTGTTGGGTTTTTTTTTTTTTTTTTTTGGTGTTGTGTTTTGGTATTAAACACCCACTGAAAAACTTAGATATCTATTTGTCTAAATTTTATGTTGTGACCATATAATTTAAGATTTAAAGTGAAACATTTTGAGAGTTAAAAAAGGGGGGCATAAGAAGTAGTCAACAATAAAATTATACATTATTTGGAACATTTTATATTGGCTGATGATTAGCTTTATTTTCTCACTATGCCTATACAATGGTATAGTTAAAAAGTAATGATTCTAGTAAAACAACAGTTCCATTTAAAACAAGTAATGGTTTTATTTACTACAATGGTTCTAGTCAAAAACTCATTTTAAATAAAATATTTTATGCAAATTAAAATTCCAAAAGTTCATAAGTACCAAAGTGTCTTTAAAAAAGATAAAATCTTTATATTGGCTATAAACTCTTGAAGAATGATAGCTCTTTGTATACATCCATGTTCTTTTATCAGATTCTTAACCTCATGTGTTCTTTAATCTCATGTCAGAGATATTTTTTCTGAAGAATATATTTTTAAAGAAGATCTCATTTAAAAACTTCAGTGCATTTCCCACAATCCTGGTCATGCTTAAATTTTATAATTAATATTTGCCTATATTGATTTTCTCAGTTGACTCTTTTCAGCATATTCTATTTTTAATCAGGAAAACAATCTTTCTACAATTAGTGATATACCTGTTAAACTCAGTGAGAATTATTATAAAGAATATCTTAAATTCAAATTTTTATTTAAAAATATGTACATATTTTAGCCAAGTATTTTTATAGGTCTCCCTTCTCTTCAAAGTGCCTCTCTTCATCTAATGTTTTCACCATGCAAAATGTGCTGACATGTTATCTCTGTTTATGATTCTTTTTACAGTAGTGCCAAATTTAGATGGTATAAAACTATAATCTTTATTTCATGTCAATAAGGCTGCTATGATTTGATTCTGTGTCCTTTCCAAAATTCACATTGTAATTGAATGTCATTGAAAGAATATTATGAGGTAAGTTTGTTGAGGTGATGAGGCTCTGCCCTCATAAGTGGATTATGCTGTTATGGTGGGAATAGGATTTCATAACAGGGTAAGTTAGTGCCCCCTTACCCTTCTATACCCTCTGCCATGGGATGACCCGGCAAGAAAGTTATCACCAAATGCTGTCTCATGGATCTTGGACTCTCAGCTTCCTGAACTGTAAAATATAAGTTTCTGTGATATGTTACTATCACAGCACAAAATAACAGAATCTGTAACTTTCTAATTAAAAATAAATGTCCGGAGTTGGAACATGGCGGTGGGTGCAGAAGGAGCAATCCCATGACCTCCTCAGCTATGCTGGCAAAGAGAGACTTCAGAATGTCTGGATGCTGTCTGCTCAAGAACGCCTAGCAATGTTGGGCTGAGGTGGTACCTAAGTGAGCAGTTTGAGTGTCTCAGAGGCCACAGTGTGCTCAGGTAAGGGTGAATCCAGGCCACCTGGAGCGTGGAGTTACTGGCTGGTTGATTTGTGACCCGCCACCCACCCACTGCAACTCAGTGCTACAGAGACCCTTGAGCAGAGTAGAGAAACAAAACTTTGGAGCTTTGGAGGATCTTTTGAGTGGTGCCAACAGAGCCTCCATGGTCCAGCAGACCGAGAGCTGAGGTAGGATTTAGGAGATACAGACCAGACCCACTCTTCCCATCGGACACCCTGGCAAGGAAACCAGGGTCCACCCTGGCAGAGAACTGATGTCATCAGAGTTCGGGGGATGGATCCCTCCACAGTGAAATTGGCGACCACAGCGCTGACAGCCGAGGCCTTTTTCACAAGCTCCTGGGGGCGTGGCTACCTGAGGGAATTAGGCAAAATAAGCCAATGGCCCCCAGCTCCAGTGCTCCACAACCTTGGGGTCTGGGTGAATAGCAAATAGAGAGAGTGCCCAGTCTTTCAAGAGAACAGGGTACCCAGGGGGCTGTAGGCCTGGAGTGTAGCTAGATCTGTGGAAAATGGCACCAGTGAGTGGGGCCTGGCGGACTGGAGAAGCATGGGTGGAGGGGGTGGGGGGGGCTGCTGGTGACCAAGAATGGCCCTGGGTGACCAGGATTGGTGAGCCACCCAGCTGGGAAGGAGGAGCTGTCTCACAGGGATTGTTTCTTGCATCTTGAGGGCAGAAGTTTGGCCCAGAGGGCACAGCTCCACTTACTGGAAGAAACTCTTAAGATTACATTTATGTTTGTTTGTTTGTTTTTTCAACTTTTAATTTTTTCCCCTTTTCCTTTATTCTTCCTATTTTTTCTTTCTCTCTATCTCTCTCTTTAATGACTTCTTCCTTCTGCTTCCCCTAGCTTTCCTCCCAAGCATTACGACTTCAATTATGCGTAATTTACTAAATGCATATAGGTGAATGTTCCGAGGCGGTCTACAGTACTCCCAAGTCCCTAGCTACCCCCAAATACTCCAGTCCATTCTCCTGTAAATATCCCACTTCAGTAGAGCAATCTTCGAAGGTTGCTAAGATATACCAATCCCCATACCATCATATCACCCGACCCAAACATAAAGTCCTAAGACCAAACCGTTGATCGCTATACGCCATCAGAATCTGTATGTCATTTATGAAATGAATGTATTTGCTTTAAAGTACAATAAAACCCAACATCTCTAGACATAGTCTCCCATCACAAAGGAGATATCCTGGAGATATACAAAACCAAAACAAATTTATAGGAGTAAATAGTAACACAGCAGTCAAACAGAGCCAGAAAATAACACGAGCATCATGAAAAAACAAGGAAAAAAAA